AGTATGAAAGTGTAGGCAAGCAATTAAACAATCTAGTGTTCACACCATTGATCCTACAGAGCTCTTCGATGCACTGAACGATTCAGAATTCGGTACTGTGCATGAATCATGGTGAACAGAGTCAACACCTGTCATCTTTACCTCTGAGTTTGCGAACCTAAATGTTGGTTCATATTGGTCTAAAAATTTTAAAACAGAGTATAGTTGTGAAATCATAGTTAGTTTTTGTAGTGGAAGTGAACTGCAAGCTGTAAGTCTTCTAATTATTGTAATAAACTGCATGTTCACATTCGACAATCCCAACCGGAGTGATAAAAACAATCCAGTCTTCCGAAACTCGAAGGCTGAAGATCCATTCCACCAAAGGTCAGTTCAATTTGTGTAAATATGATTGAAGATGGACAGTTAACAAACAATCAATTATTTTCGAAATTATTGCAATCTATCGAAAGTGGAAATGAGAAAATTAAAGTGGAATTGAAAAACCATATAGATTTTGAAAATGAAAAATTGAGAGATATTATCAGAGAGCAGAACAAGAAGATATTTCAATTAGAACAGAAGTGTGAAAAACTCACTGAGAATTATCTAGTTCTGGACAGGAAAACTAGAAAAAACAATATTATTGTATTCGGTTTGGAGTGTGATTCCAGTGTCGACGGTGCTAGGTCAGCAATTGGAAAACTCAACTCTCTGTTGGGGACTAGTCTGAGTGAATCAGACCTCAACAATATTTTTTCTCTGCATAATACCACCAAGCCTGCTGTGAAGATTGAGTTTATCTCATAATTGAAAAAAAATTCAGTATTCCAGAATATTTCTAAATTGAAAGGTACTGACGTATTTATTTCACACGATCTTTGCTACGAAGATCGTCAGAACTATAAAATCCTGGCAAAACACATGAAGGAGGCAAGAGAAAAAAATCTTTCTGCGAAAATTGTGAATCACAAGCTTGTAATCAACGGCGAAGCTTATACTGTAAGTGAATTGGAAAAGGGAGGTGATAGTCTGGTTGATATACAAGTGTCGAATAAAAGAGGACGAGAATCTTATAGTAATCCGTCAACTCCTTCACACCCCACTCCAATCACTGACAGCTCCGAAACTGAAGATACTGAAGATAAAGCTGAATCTGTGCTGAACACTACTGTTAAACCACATCTCAAGAAACTGAAAAAACAAAATATAATTCCTGAAACCGAGAGAAGAACACGACAAAACAGTTCATCTAAATCAAAAAACTCTGATTAGTTGTTACCAGTCATCCGTGTTTATTTTTCTACTTGATTTCAATCATTTTTCTCTTCTTTTCTGCTACTCATTCTTATATAGACATTTTCACAATATACCTAAAAATATTATAGAATGAACTTCACTTTTGCCCATGTTAATGTTCGCTCTCTAGTTCCACATCTGAATGGTCTACACTCACACATTGATGCTGAGAATTTTGATATGATAGGTATCACCGAGACATGGTTACATCCGGGAATACCAAACAATGTAATTGCAATACAGGGCTATAATTTCTTTAGATTTGATCGTTTAGTGAGAAGAGGAGGCGGAATCGGTATCTATGTAAGAAATAATTTGAATGCTAACATAATCTTGAATGAATCATCTGATTATTTGGAACAATTATGGATAGAGATCAAGTTAAACAATCACAAACATGCTTTTGGAGTAGCATATAGACCACCAAATTCAGATTATGTAACGTTCTTAGGAAATTTTGAAGATACGCTGATTAAAATATTCTCTAATTACGATAAAATTACATGCATGTGTGATTTTAATATAAATCTTCTAGACATCAATTCACAAGCTTCTAGTAATCTCTTATCCATCACAGATTCATTCAATATGACTCAAAAAATAAAAAGTCCTACTCGCGCTTCAAACAACAGCATGACACTTTTAGATCTACTATTCACAAATATTGAAAATACTACTGAGGCTACAGTTCAAGACGCAGATATAGCAGACCATTTTCTCATCAGCTGTTCGTTTCCTCTCAGAACCCACTGTACTACCGAAACCAAAACTTATTTTTACAGAGACTTTAGTCGTATCAATAAAAACCAATTTCAAGCGGATCTAGAGGCCTTACCGTGGGAAAATATTTACACTATCGAATCAATCGATGACAAAATTGAATTCTTAAACAATAACATTATTTTTTTGGCTGATATACATGCTCCGCTTAAAACATCTCGTTACTCTAATAATAAACAAAAATACACGCCCTGGATCACTGATAACATCAGGCTTATGCAGAAAATGCGCGATAAATCATTGCGACGATATAGGAAAAGTCGACTACCAGCCCACTTCGAATACTACAAACAGTTGCGTAACTTTACATCGTCATCTATCAATAGGGAAAAGAAAGCTTACTTAGAATATGCACTACGAAACTCGAACAGTCGACAGCAATGGCAAACATTCAGGAAATTGGATATATCGAAGAGCAAGCATAATGAACTACCGCAAAACCTAAAAAATGTGAATGTTTTGAATAATTACTTTGTGAATGCCTCTAAAAATGACCTACAGCCAAGCCCTGAAATAATAGATCATTATTCAAATAGAGTGAAAGAGGGTATTACCAGTGTCTTCACTGTTTCTCAAGTTACTGAAGACGTAGTCTCCTCTATAATCAAAAACATAAAATCCAAATCATTCGGTTCAGATAACTTGAATATAAACCTCATACTCCTCTGCTGTCCATTTTTAATCGTTTATATTACTCATATCATGAATGAATGTGTGAAAAAGTGTTACTTTCCTAGAGTTTGGAAGCATGCTTATGTATTACCACTACCTAAAATAAAAAACCCAACGGAACTTTCCGACTTACGGAGCATAAGCACGCTTCCAACACTCTCTAAAATTTTAGAAAAAATTCTTGATGTACAAATAAGATGTCACCTTGAAACGCACAATATACTTCCCCTATATCAGTCTGGCTTCAGATCAGGTTTTAGTTGTGCGACGGCACTCTCTGCAATATCAGATGATATATTCCAATCACTCGACAGAAACGAAATGTGTGCTCTCATCTTACTTGACTACTCAAAAGCTTTTGATACCATAAATCACCAAATCATGACTGCCATTCTACACTTCATAGGGTTTAGCGAATCAGCGTGTTCTTTTATGATATCCTATTTGGCTGATAGAGTTCAACAGGTTAAATTGGATAATATTATATCTGAACCGCTGAATTTGCAACAAGGAATTCCTCAGGGAAGTATCTTAGGCCCCTTGATGTATACCATTTACACCAGTAACTTTTGCTCAAGCTTGACACACTGCAAATATCATTTTTATGCGGACGACACCCAGCTGTACTACTCATTTAAATTTTGTGATATAGCTGAAGCCAATGGTTTTATTAATTCTGATTTGAATGAACTTCTCGATGTTACTAACAATCATTTACTGAAAATCAATTCAAAAAAATCTATCGCACTCTTATTTGGGTCAGACAATCAGAGAAATGAGGCGCTCAATACCTTGCACATAGAAATTGGCAATGACCCGATCAAATTTGAAGATAATTGCAGAAACCTTGGGCTCTTCATGGATTTCAAACTACGATTCAAATATCATATCACCCAAAAACTCAAAAATGCATATTCTTCCTTGAAGCTCATTTATCAGCATAGACATTTTCTCAATTCTAAACTGAAAATACAAATTTGTGATAGTTTGGTTCTTTCTCACTTCAATCACTGTGATGTTGTTTATGGCCCATGCATCGATAATATTGACACTAGAAGAATCCAGGAAACACAAAACTCGTGTTTGAGAATGATATTCGGGATTAGACGACCACAGCGTATTTCTCACAAATTGATGGACACTGGTTGGCTTAGCATGTTCAATCGTCGTAAACTTCATATGGCATGCTTCTTCTATAAAATTTTGAAATGTAAAGCACCGGAATATTTATACCAAAGAATTACATTCAGAACGGACGTACATAATCTGAATCTGAGGCGTAGAAATATGCTCATGATTCCCAGGCATAAGAAACAACTATTCAGGCGGTCTTTTTCTTATAACGTAACACTGTTTGGCGATATAATGGATTTTTCATTCTCATCATGTGAAGCATTTAAAATTTGGTACAAACGATTTCTGTTCTCTCAACAATGATATCACATTTCTTAGTATAGGTACAGGTGAATATTTATGAATCATAATCAATGCATTTTTTTTTCTGATATATTTTTCTTGTTATGAACGTTCTCATTATTATTTTTCTTTATATATTTATTTTTGAGGAAACTGTGGAAGAATCGGCCACTCGGCCTAACAGTTCTCCTATTATCTACCATTATACAACTGATTCTACTTGTACTTCATGTAACATGTATCTATGGTAAATAATAAATGTATTATTATTATTATTATTATTATTATTATTATTATTATTATTAATATAACCTTAACTCATTTCACTAGAAAAATGGACTTGGCTGGTTTATGCATTGGACTCCATAGAAATATCTGAAATAGATGATACGATCTACTTTGCTTTACATCAGTTGGTGACAAATGTATTGAAGCATGGTACCTGTCTTCTAAACCATATAATAATGCACCTACATGACTACACACTTCGGATTGGCCAGTCATACATGTAACCTCGTTCACCTTACGTCGACACATACAGGCGATAGGCCATACAAGCCTAATAAATATAACAATATGTGCTGTGAATATTATCAATCTAAAAAACATACTATCTTGTACATGATGTTTTATACAGTTGGAATCCATAAATCGGTGGGTGTCTTCGTTTCACCAGCTTTTGCATTCATCATTATCATTTTTTCATTGGCTATGCAAAGATTACAGGCAAGCAGAGGCAGTATGATGAGTCACGCTGTTGCTCTTTCATGAAAAATAATAGCCTACAGTATTTTCTAACTTGACGTAGTGCGCTAGATATGGAAGTTAACTCACAAATACAATTTTCAATTCAGGTTCCAATGGTAATGGTACTCCTGGATCGATGGGGAGGTCATTGAGAAATGATCTACTAGTTGCCGCAGATTCAGTTACGAATGCCATGTCAACATTAGTACGAGAATTGAATTCAGGTACCAATTAATTAATTAATAAGGCTTTTAATCCAGTTAAGTATTATTCATCTACCGAAAAACTGTTTCTGTTTCTTGTATCTTTATATTGTGTTAGATTTCTGTATAAATTTTAGTTTTTTTATTTTTTTATCTTACTATAAGCGCATTATTTTCATCTGTTTTATCTATTCTATCGAGAAAAAGTATTGGACAAAAACAAAGTTGAAAAGTGTGCCATGAGAAATAATCTACTTCAATATCCAATTAAAAATATTAGTGAAAAATATACTACGAAAATTTTTCGAGTTAATTTTTTGTTATGAAAGTATTTTTCATTTTATCCCTCTCGAAAATATATAATTGAGTGGCAATATACCAACTTGACGAAAAAACAGCTTGTTATTGATAATAGCCGTTTATTTTTCTGTCAATTTAATATTTTTTGTACTTTGCCCATCTGTCTCTATTCTGTTTTTGTTCAATATTATAACCTTCGATTGCCATTAGAGGGTGCATATTATTTTTGTACTTATTTATTTATATTTTTGTACTTATTTATTTATATTTTTGTATAAAAGTGAATATTGACTGAGAATGAATAATCTGGCATGCCGAATGCCTAAGTGTAACAGTGCAGCTAGCATGACTATGATATGAACATCACACAAAACAGAAAAAATACTCTATAAATTATGTTGTTGAATCATTTTATATATTTAAATTTTATATCATTGTTACATATTCCAATATTTATGTTCATTATTTTTAGTAACATGACAAAACACATGTTTCAGATTGTTAAAAAAAAAGTATATACATTTCGAATAAATGCATTGAATAGTATTTTTATTTCATTTCAAATTCCGAGTTGAGAATTATCTAATGAAATCAATGATGTAGGAAGTTTTCATCAAAACCATTGTATTTAAGAATATATTTGAACACCTTTTAATCTCTGTTATTATCGGAGGGGAATGACTGATTACATTCAGAATTAATCATCAGTAATGTTTGATTTCGTGAAATACTAGTTAGATTTCCATAGACAATTTTCATAAGCAGGAAATCAAAATTCAATCAAAAATAATAACTGAATATATACAAAGGTACTGACAATATTTCTTTGAGTCAGGTTATTCTTGAGATGCTTCAGCATCCAGGGAAATGTATAACCGTGATCTGTATTTTATTTTTTCCTCTGCTAGCACATATTTCTCGATTAACCTACAGACAGTATTTAATACATGAAGTTATTTCCGAGAGTAGATATTGTCAATAGTTTTAATCATAAACTATAAATATTAGGAGTGTAAATTTATTTCTTGATAAATAGTGAAGAAAAACGATTTCTCAGGTGGTTCAGAGCTAGTAGTGGAAATAATTCTTTGTGTGATATTCTTGTTACTAATTTTCACTTTATTTTCCCACAAGATGTTCTAGTCATGGAGTCTAAATAACCATGTATATTATTGATATAATATAATTCAGCACTTATGCTGGTGTGACAACTTGCAATTATGTTTCCTCTGATCATACACGAAATTGAACCTTTTTAGATCTAAAAAATAATAAAATATTTTATTTTCCTGCTCACACGAATATTGTTCTATATACCGGGTGAGTGAAATTCGAGTAGATGCATGGGGGTCTCGGAAACGGTAAGAGCTACAGAGAATGGAGGCAAAGTTGCCCAATTTTATGACTAACGAAATGCCCTTTTCAAATTTGAAAGATTCCGAAGACTTCCGAAGGTTTTTGAAAAAAACGAATATTCGCGATTTCATTTTTATTTTCTTCTAACTCTCATTTGAATAGACGTAGCAAAACGAATTACATATGCTCATTGCCTCTTTTTCTGTTCTTTAAAATGATATTATCAGATTTCCAAACCGATGTTTCATCTTTGAGTTACTATCATCAACTTAGTTTTTTTAAAATACGGCCCTGGATTTTTATCAAGGATTTTAAGACCTTTCAATGCCTTAAAATCAACGGTGTGTGGAACTTATTCGAAAAAGGTGTTTGTTTTAAATTCCATTAAAAATCTATATTTTGTCTTTTTTTCATCTCTTGGGGCGCACGAAAGGAAATTCCTATAATGTTCGTGGAACATCGTGCATACGTAATGAGGATAGGGAGAGGAGGTAGGTGTTGGATTTCTTTTTACTTTTGGAGGTTATAAGTTTCTTGGGAATACTTTCAATGGAAAAGAATTCCAATGCTTCGCCGTTCTATAGACTAACAAGTTTTGGTAGAGTTTTGTTCGATATTTTTCAAGGTTAACGACGGAGGAATGTGCTGACTGGGCCTAACACATGATTTCTAATGGAAAATGTCATTAATATGAATTTTTCGAATAAGTGCAATACACAAACAAAGTTTATGATGGCAGCTCAAAGACGAAACGTCGGTTTAAAAATCTTATAACAGCATCTTGTAGAACAGAAAAAGTAGCAATGAGAATGTGCACTTTGTTTTGTTACATCTATTCAAATAGAGTCAGAAAAAATAAAATTGAAATCGCGAATATTCGATTTTTCCCAAGAATCTTCTGAAGCATTCGGAATTTTTCAATTATCAAAACGGCATTATGTTTAACCATTTGACCCTCTCTGTAGCTCTTACCGTTTCCGAGATCCCCATGCATTTTCTCTAAATTCACTCACCCGGCATACTGTTCTTAATAAGATATAACCTTATTAAATAGTCTTTGATCTTTGGTCCATATGCTCAAAGTGGAGTGGAAATTTCCAAAGGAATAAGGGAAGGAAGGAATGATCAAAGTCATCTCCATAAATTTTAATGACGTTAGACTGCCTAATAAAAATTCCACAATACAAAAAAAGTATATTGATATGGGGGAATTACATGATTTAGTGGTGACTTACTTGTAGTTGAGAAATTAAATTACTAACTAGTAAATTTGCCTGCCGATGCGTCTATAGTCAAAATTCCTGTTTTTTTTAGTATCAAGTTATAAACGGGCTCAATAAATAAAGAGGTCCGTGCCCTGAGAGCGCATAATATTAAACATGAAATTTCATATACTGAAACAGTAGACTGTTGGAGCATTCCTTCCTTCCTTTGAAAATAGTGTTTGGCTTTGAAAATTTCATGATGATGATTGTCCCATCAGTACCTTGTCAGATATCAGTCAATCAAGATAATGGGGATTCCAAGGTGTTGAGATTTGCAATAATTCGATTCAAATCTTGGTTCGTTTCTGTTTCATTTTTGAAATAAGGATTTTTTTTTACTATTCATGTGAGTACAGTCCAGTCGAAACGAGTCACCCTGAGATGCAGAATATGAACCTCAAGAAAAATACACTTCGAAATTTATATACAGGGCAACTATTTCTAACATATTCACACTTGATATAACAATCACACCCTCAGGGTCACTTCTCATTATTTTTTCGAATTGAATAACATGGCCTTATCGTATAAGTAAATTTCAAGAATATAATATAAGATTTTGAGTCCATGTATTCTGGGAGGTACAGATATAATTTGTTGATTTATTAACTTACGTCTTCGTTTCATCAATGACAGATGATTGATGTAATGAGTTTATGTGACAAGTCTGGAAAGAGCATCTATACAGGAAGCCTATTCCAATTCGAAGGCGAGGCCTGAATGCCTCCAGGTCCTCTAAACGTCGTTTTCAAATAATGACCTAATGATTTTTTAGGCATGCGTGGTCCTTCTCATTTTTTTAGTCCAACGTAACTTCTGTCGAATGTAATAACATTTCGTCGCCCTAGAATAACAAGGTTCTATCTGCTTTTTGAAACAAATTAATTGAGATGTTGGTATATTAGGGATCTATCTGCTGAATTCTTCACTTTGAGAGGCCAACTATCACAATCTGTTGGAGGAATACAAGTGAGTTGGTCATAATGCAGAGATCTATCTACAGAACGTTTCTCTCTGAATTCGATGTAACAACACCCTAACTACAAAATTTGGTTTATCATGGACCTATCTACATCAAGATAGAACTTTGTTTTATCAAACCAATACATATTCACCCTTGTTATCTAGTTCATCAACCATAAACATTCACAGTGATATTGAGAAGTACATTAATTAGAAGGCTTTTTTTCACCTTTATCTGTCATCAAGAATTTGAAAGCAGTGAATAAAAAAAGCCATACTGCATCTTATAGCTGAAAGTTACCGATTCCAAAGATTTTGAAAGTTGTGCCAAAAAACTCTAATACAAAAATATTCATTATTCAAGTTCAAAAACTGAGAGCTGCATGAATGAGAGTGACAGAAACTACTTCGCTGCATTCCTGAAAGATCTTAACTGAATATCTGTCATTTTGTACTTCTCCATTCCAATAATTCGAAATATACTTTTGAAAAAAATCTACGTGCCGTAATTAACATACTACTATTATTACTACACATATACTTATACCTAATATACATTGAATCAAAAGTGTATCTGGCACTTGAAACATTTCAAATTAGCTTCCTCGTATAATTTTATGAAACAAAAAAGTATTATTGTATAGTCAGTTATAACCTTGTTGAATGACTTCAGTATATTTTTTTTCTGGAACAAACTATATCCATATTTTATATGTTCGAATAGACATTTTTTTGAGAATGGAGGAAGGAACAAAATTAACTGACAAAAACTTCAACACATTTGTATATACTAAATCAGAACAAAAAATCTGATAGATTGAAATGAAACGATATATAGATTAAGTCAAAAGTTCGCAGCACGATTCTGAGCAACTATACTTGGTGTAGATAGTACCTTATTTTTCTAAGGCGACGATTTACTCTGCTCAAATGGACATGATAAATTGTACAAAAATGTCAGATTTTATTCGCATCTGTCCAAATATGAAAAAGCATTTTTTTATTAAACGCAACTCGTTATCACACGGCAAAATTAAATAATTTAGGGGAGACTATTAAAGCTTAGATAGATATTCATATATTCATCACAACACAACTTGTACAATAATTAACTAAGCCTTTGGAAAATATGTTATTATTACATGGAAGTCAGTCGACTTCAAACAGTTGATAAAATGGTATTCTAATTGAATCGTTATCACTGTTTATAATTTATGAAAATTTAGTATCTGTAATTCGAAAAACTTTAACTTTGGAACGTAACTAAGTGTAATTTTGATGAATTCGATTATTTTAACAGATCATTCGAATTTGATAATATTTCTTCAAATTATTCATCAGCTGTTCACAAATGTCAGTACCTGATTGATTTTGTCTTCTTTTCTTTTTCAACAAGTGGGGTGCTTATATTATACCGATAATATATTTTGGATTTGTAACTATTCTTGAATTTTTTTTCCATGTGATGAACTGTGACATTTCAAAGTTTGTGATTGTATTTATGCAATCACCAATTTGCAAAAAAATAAGAGCTTTAATAGATTTCGGCTTTTGAAGCATGGGAAACAAAAATTAGCTACCAGTTGAAAAGCAATCCATTCTAAAAAATCGGGAGTTTACGAGATTTGTTGCAACGATTGCATAAAACATGTACATGTCATACTAAAAACCCCATCAAAATTAAGTGAAAAAAATGAATATTCGATTGCATACATCAACTGTAGCAGAATATTTTATCCAACCACAATCATAACACATATCAAAAATTCAATGGTGTCATTCAATTATGAGCAATACCTATCATTAATAATGATAGTAGTCAATTGAAGTGAACCACATTATCCAAAGGCGTATTGAGCAAGGTCTATTCCACCATTATAGGTACCTATATTTTTCAATAATGAAATAACATGGTGATCATGAAACGAAATATTCAAAAGACATGAAGCTCAAGTATAAATTCTGCTAGAATTCGCTCTAATATTTACAGTGCGTTATTGAGCTATTGGAAATCAATTCGGTATCATTATAGCATCCTTCGCGAGAAAAAAGTTAATATGAACAAATCACTGACCTAATGAAGTTTCATAATTATTATGATGAATTTATGGTGATACATTGATGAATCAGTTCCTCAGAAAAATCTGAAAATGCCTCGTTTTAATTGGAATGTACTGTACTAGGTATTTTTGTGTTATTGTTGGTCACGTATGACAGGCTACAAAATTCCTAGAAGGATCTCTATTTTTCAAGAAGGAAAAACACTACAGCATAACACAGATTATTCTTCTTTAGGCTGGGTAATATTTTATTTCCAATTTCAATACAGTTTCGCCTCATTTACACCGCACTTATGAGTTGTTTATTTTTAGTTCTGATAGGTAAGTTTAATTTAATATTATTTTTCATTTGTAAATATGATATTTTTTCCATGCATAATTACTCGAAACTGAGGTAGATTGTATGTGGAATGCTGCCTGTTGAGTTGTTGTTAAATTACAGAACCTTCTGTCCGTCCAGAGGCTAGTGGTATCAGAAAACCTTTTGGTGAGTAGTTTCGTCATGGTGTGAAATAATTTTGATACCTACCATAATTTTTAGTAATTTTTAGTTTCTATACCCTTTATACCTATGAAAAAGAAAGAGTTTGTTTCTTACGAATAGTTGGAATACATATCTTCATAATCCCCATCAGTATAGCAACAATTTACCGTGTTTATTTCAATCTAAACCGGAAAATGCTGATTACGCTGATTACGATCATGAAATCGAAAAAAAAAAACGCGTTCACGAGTTATGTCGAGAGGTATTTTTTTTAAATGGGACACCCAGTATGCAATATGCTTAATCTGTAGTAAATTCGATTCTGTATCTCTCGTAGTCTGACGTAGGATTCAGAAATTCGCAGAAGTGATGAAGCTACAGGAAGGTTTACTCAATGAGTAAATGGGATTACCATCAGTGATAAAGGTTATGCAAAGTCAGTTGGAACAACACATCAACCGCGAGCCGTCAGTCCCTTTGAGATTTTAAAGAGAGCGGCAGAGTGACCCGACATTCCTTCGATGATCTGTTTTAACTGACTTTGCATAAACTATACCTTGGCTGTCGGCGAGCAGTGCATATCACTGAAGATTGACCCACTTGCTCATTGGTATCTTTCTACAGAACTAAACATTTTTCAGAAAAACAATGTATCGGTAGTAATATATCGGCGATACCATATGACTACTACCGAGTTGTGTATGTATATCATTAATGATTATCTAATTTTGTCATTGAGTGTATCTTCAGCAGCTCTCTATCACTCTTTCATAGTTCAGAATTGTACTTTATAATTATGGAAGATACAGAAGTTCTTCCATCAGAAGTGAGACACACTATTCAAGTGAACATTACATTTTCATGAAGAGAAAGTAATAATCTCATATTCTAATATTCAGAAAAAAAAACAGACAGAATCTGCGAGCCTTGAAGGGTGGCTAAACAATTTTAACCAATGAAAATCGACCAGCACTTTGAAGTTCATTATTCCAGATTTTTTGGGATTTTCTCGTTTCTATAAAATAAAAATATGAATATTATTTCAATATACGTGTAGTACGGACAAATCAGATGATTTGCCCCAGAATGTCACTGCGTTTGAAGAATTTTCCTATCAGAGAGCCTAAAAGAAAAATTCACTTGCTTGTCAGTGACAATTTGTATTGAAAAAGGTTTGGAGAAGAGAAATAAAGGTATATAAAAAAATATTAAATTTTCACTTAGGTTTGAATGTTTCGGGAACAAATCCGCTTCCTTTTTCAACATAGAAAACTTTTCAGTTCTCAGTGACAATTGGTGACGTTGGCAATCAAATGAGTTACAGGATGTTCTCATTAATTAATCTTGAATTTACCATCTCCATTTTCTGATTTCAGTAGTGAATACCATGTTCTATCTATATCAACTGAACAAGAAGCAATGTTAATGTCTCCGTTAAGAAGAATGCAAGCAGATTCCTTGATTTTTCTGTGCTGGTTGTTATCTTCTTTTCCAAAGAAAATTGTGTGCTTTTAAATGTAACCCTTTCGGTATCACTTCATTATTACAACATTTGCAAAGGAAGGTTAAACTATTTTCCGTGTGAGACAGTTTTATATATAAATCTTCAAGTTTTCTGAACTGATGATTGATGTGAGGCTTATACCTATTTGTTAAATACTGTCTGTAATAATGAATCTACCACGTCCTCGATTAACCTACAGACAGTATTTAACAAATAGGTATGGGCCTTACATCAATCATCATTTCAGAAAACTTGAAGATTCATATATAGAACTGTCTCACATGTTAAATAGTTTAACCTTTCTTTGCAAAAAAGGAATACATTTAAATGCACCATTTTCATTGGAAAAAATGATAACAACCAGAAGAGAAAAATCAAGGAACCTGCTTGCATTCTTCTGAACAAGGTATTCCCTACTGAAATCAGAAAATGAAAATGGTAAATTCAAGATTAATTAATGAAAACAACCTGTAACTCCTTTGATTGCCAACGTCACCAATTGTCACTGAGAACTGAAAAGTTTCAAGACATATACGAATTTGCTTTCAAATAACCATTTCTTATTTTAAAAACGGGAGAAGATTCGTTCCCGAAACGTCCAAAGCTGAGTGAAAATTTGATATTTTTATATTTTTAAATACAAATTATCACTGACAAGCTAGTGAATTTTTCTTTTAGGCTCTCTGATAGGAAAATTCTTTAAACGCAGTGACATTTTGGAGCAAATCATCTGATTTGTTATTACTACACGTATATTGGAATAATATTCATATTTTTATTTTATAGAAACGAGGAGAGAAAATCTCAAAAAATCTGGAATAATGAATGTACCACCTCCTCGATTAACCTACAGACAATAGTTTGAAGTTCGCCTAATGAAAATTCGTTAGATAATCTGAAGTTTTCTCACTTAGACTTCGAAGATGACGGTGACGAATCCGACAGCGGATGGCAGCAAGAGTTGGAGCGCAGATACGCGCAAGACGCCAACTTCATGGCGGAATTGCGAGCCAGACACCCGTCCAGCCCGCCCAAGGATAACCAGATGCCAGGTCCGAACTACGCACAAAACTCGTACGGGCACAACTTCAATCACAGCGGACAGAGTTTCCATATCCAAGGAGTGCACTATCCGCAAAACCATAACATCAATTCGGCTTCCAGTTACGTCTCCCAACAGAACTATCCCGTCAATAGTCAGCCAGGAATGGGTCAAGGCAATTTTGCACAGGTACCGAATGTAGGTCTAGAATTACTGGATGGTTTTAGTAGATATAAGAGTTCGGACACAGCTGAATTTCTGTTATTATCTATTTTCTAAATGACAATGCTTGAATGAATGAAAGAATAAGACATATATTCTGCTCTTTGTCTTTTCTATTTTCCTATCCTGATTGTCAGATACGATTTAAGAGGACTCAAGCGGGATTTATAGATTGAAGCGCAGCCGCTGCCGCTGCAGTTGCAGCCGCCGTAGCAGTTCTGGAAAAATGAGTCAATTTATATTTCATTCTCGAGGCCAAATTTTTTTCTTCATCAATAGATTTTTGTTATTTTCATCTTTCCAATTCTATAGATGGGAAGAGCTCTCTACCAAATTTAGGAATACTCCTATATTAATGTTCTCCATTTTCACTATAATGTTCCAACATTCAACAACGGGGAACCAACTTTTGATAATAATATAACATAACCTCTAGACTCCAGTAATTTTTTTGACACAGACAGACGGAACTGGAAATGTCAGCTTCAAGATCATCTTGTTTTATGTCATTTGTCCGTTGCCGCCGCCGCCGAAGATGAAAATTAGTCAACTTCGGGCAGCAGCGGCGACGGCGTCTGCGACGAATCTATATACGAACGTATACATGTTTAACTACACTTTCAAAGTTTGAACGGCGGCTGCAACCGCAGGGGCAGCGGCTGCGCCTCAATATATAAATCCCGCTTAAGAGGTTACCTTTTCTGTCAAATCAATCATAGCCGTAGATGGAGAATAGAAAGAGGATATTAACACCCACTTCAATTTATAGCAATGTGGCACTTTTCGCAGAACAACAATTAAAAAAATGAGAAGAATGCGTGTAACAACATTTTAATATGACAAAATAGACACATATAGATATACTTATAACTAGTTCGGTCGGCATTGAAAACGCAATTCAATAATATACAGTGAGTCCAAGATGAGGATGTCTCTCATCGGGTATAGCTGTCTCAACGCTATTTGTAGAGCTTGAAAAATGGGAATGGGAAAGTGTCTTCTGTTTTACTATTTTTATTTAATTAACGTCAGAAAAAAATTGAAACGATTCTCATGATAGACATCATTATTTTGGACACAGTGTAGTATATATCACGTTGCAATTTACTTGATTTCCTCGGTTTTGTTCTCAAAATTCCAATTTCATTACGTATAGTTTTGCAATCAGTTCCTCTTTCTCCATGATAATTTTGTTTTGTAAATGGATGGAACAGCAGATTCTCTCTAACGAATCTAATAATCCGTTCAAAAATGGGCCTAAAATATAGTTTCATTCTAATCTGATGTTATAATAAGTGAATTTTAATTTATGTACCTCAAAAAGTCTGCTTATCCTACCATATGAGAATGGTTGATATATTTCCTTTGGAAAATTAAATAAATGAAATCCATTCTCTTCAGAATTTTCACTATTCATTACACAGCAGGACATATTCATTTATGCTTTCTTCCCAATAGTTTATGGAATCATATTTCAATTCTGACATTCATGAAATATATTGTCAAATTCCGAAAATTTTGAATGAAAAAGCGCAGGACCACTATGGTGCTTTTGTCACAATGCAAGGTGAATCTAAACAATCAAAAATATTAACAGTTGTCATTTCTGTGTCCGAACTCTTATCTACTAATACCATCCAGTGACTCTAGTTAGATCAACGGTCGAGTATGTTCAGCTGAATTTGTATAGGAATAGCTCAATGTCTATACTGCAATATAAATACCTAGAAGGTAACACAATGACATTAGCTGAAGTTCATGCATATTTCAACTGTTCTGTGGAATTATATCATCACAACGTGCTGACGTCAAAGACGGGATTATAATTCAGTGGCTTGAGCCATTCTTCACAGATATCCTGAAATATCCTAAACTACATTTTCTATATTATCAGGTTTTCTTCATCCAATTATTTATCTGAACATAAATCAATTGCAAGGGAATAATTTACATAGATATCAGTTTCTTTCATTTCTTTCATGATCTACTTTTCAAATCAAAGCCCGCATCGGGGAGCAAGTCCGTGTAGGATTCAGAGCCATCTAGTAACTAAAAGTAAAAATTATGGTTTTTATAATCTATGATATCACTTTCCACACAAAAATGTTGAGGTATTGTCGCTGTGCAGAAGAAAAACGCTACGTCTGCTAGAATTGTGAGTTATGAGGTTGTTTTTGTCATATCCCGTAGACTGTACATTCCACTCCTTACGGTATTTTTTTACATCTTGTATCATCTTATTTGACTATTATCACTTACCAAATACATTTTTTAAAAGCCTTTGAAATTCTTTCACATAATTTTCATTATCTTCAGATGATTAAATATTTGAGCAATTTTATCCGAAATAATTTTCAAATAGATATTAAACAACCACCGAATCATCTTCTCCACCTCAGGTGCGCACTATGCTCCATGAATAGGGGTTCCCTTTCGTGTGATTCAAAAGATCGAAGAAAAAGAACTCAATTGGGGATATCATTTCAGAGATGTAAACCTTATTGATGGATATTTCACAACACTTCGGGAGCATATAGTCTGGCCTCTAAAAGATGACCGCAGTAAATAATGTATGCCCAGAGCACAATATAGATGTTTCGCTCATCAATGCGCTGGCAATTTAAAATTGGAATCTCAATCCTTCGATAAAAATGATATCAGTTCAAAGTGCAATCAGCCATATCGTTCATGACTTGATGAAATCGACGTCATCTCCGAGGACTGAACGCCTTCATCCTCTCCATTTCGTCCCAAGACTTCTTTGGCGAGTCGAACTATACTATTATATTCAATATCTTGATATCTGAGATTTCAGCGGAAAACAATTGATACGACATGATGAAATTATTTGATAATTAATTTCCTGCCTAATGAGCTGAAAACCATACAGGAGCACGAACCTGAGGAATTGATTTGAATAAATATTTCTTCAGAACCCATCGATTTCATAATCTATTCATGATTTGAATACTTTTTGTCCGAAAGCTCGCTGCAAATTTCGACCGTCATCAGATAACGAAATGTGAGACAGAACGTGCTCAGGGTGTTCGTGGTTTGGCAGGAAAATAGCGAACAGTAGACAAGATGGGTAGGTTTACTCAAACAACCGCTAAAATAACATATGATTCATACCTACCCATCATATTCCTGTGGAAAGCATAAAAACATAAAGCACTATATACATAACAAGAACTACGGGTGTCAACTGAATGCTCCGTTACAAATGATATATATCCCAAAGGCATGTAAAGACATTGTATTTTATCGAACGGCACCAGTGCCAATCAATCCTGAGCAAAATGAATGAAAAATCGGACTTTCCTGTGCGGTATTTTGCACTTAATTTCGCGATTTGATAACGAGATAAGAATTATGCCATACGATACGAATAATCGAATGGTAGAGTCTCTGTTTATGTTCGGTGATATTGCAGGATGAGTGTGGAGCTGTTTGTGTCTTATCTGATTCGTTCAATTGGTTTGGCAGCAAATGTCAAGTATGTATTAAAATTCAGATAAACAGCCGTTTCATATGAAAATAATCAGAAAAAAACTCCATATCTATTAATATGAATTGAAAGGGTAGCTTAGGTAGTTTTGTCTGATTTGTCTATTTTATGATAAGGGAAAATAATAAGAAAAATACAATTATTGAGAAGAGTGAATCATTTGAAATAACTAAGATTATATATTGATATCAAGCAACAGAAAAAGCCTTATAGCCTTAGGACCGGTATATTTTTCAAAAATTTTAGTTGATTGATTACATATAAATATGAGTCAGTAAAGAATTCCTAGAAAATTTTCTTTTTCAGAATGTTTTGCCATCAAACTCTAGACCTGACAACCTACTACAAGAATCAGCAAAAAACAACGATGTTAGAGAAGATCCGATAGAAGAAGAAGGAGAAATTAAAAATAAAGAAACCCTACAATTCGAAGAAGCATTGAAGCAGTGGGTAAATCGGTAAGGTTAGAATGAAACTGAGTAGTTGTCCCCAAAAAATATTCAGTTATTTAGGTTTAATGATAAAATCTCACGGAATCTGTAACGTCACAGTAATGGAATAATACAGAAACGAAAATGTATTAAAATGTCTAGGTTAAGTACCTACATTTGTTATTTTTATTAGGGCATTATATTGCTAATGATCTGTTTTCAATAGTACCTTTATAGGGACAAACTCTAATCTAAGTCTACACAGGATATATCTTCATGATCTGTATAGGGCGAACTGAAATAAGCACAATTCGAATAATTCGTAGGAACGGTGAAGGAATTATGGAGAATCCAACTAAAATGTTTTCGTTATTGTGATGCTTCCGGTTTTTCCGAAAGTGACGTCATCTTTGTTATTTCCAATGGGACACCCTGTATTTTACATTTTGTGATTCCTCTCATGATTCTGATTCAAATTCATGTATCATACCCTATACCAAAAATGAACTGTTTTTGTGTTAGTCGTTTTTCTAGAAAACGTGACAGATGCCGCCTATCGAGCATACGTCATTTTAATGTAAATTGCAGTGATTGGATCATGAATTATTTACAGGTTGCGCAGAAGAGTAGTTCTGAAAAGGGAATGTGACACAAAAAAAATCTCAATTTTTTCAAATGATCCCCATTTTTTCTTCTCATAATTCAATTCGATAATGAAAATGAGCCCTAATTTTAGATGTTCTAGTAGGATATGCAAAATATCTATTAACAAATGAATTAACGTTGTTCATTGTCAGATTCATCATCTACAAAAGTGCAATAATATGTCATATCGCTCTTGTTGGGTATAATAATCATGATTTCGATTTATTACATTACATATTTTTTTGGATTTTCTCTGCTCGTTTCTATTAAATAAAAATTTGCAATACACAAAAATCCATTTTTTATGTTGAATACGGGAGCAGATTCGTTCTCGAAACGTCCAAAAATAAGTGGAAATTTGATATTTTTTCTATGTACCTTTATTTCTCTTCTCCAAACCTTTCTCAATACAAATTGTCACTGACACACTAGTGAATTTTTCGTTCAGGCTCTCTGATAGGAAAATTCTTTAAACGCCGTGACATTTTGGGGCAAATCATCTGATTTGTCCTAACTACACGTATATTGAAATGGTATACATATTTTCATTTTATAGAGATGAGGAGAGAAAATCCCAAAAAATCTAGAATGATGAATTTACCACCTCCTCGATTAACCTACAGACAGTATTACATTCGCCTTGAATCACTTATAGTAGGAGAGCCGGCTGCAAAATTCGACCGTCATCTGATGAAAAAATGATATATGTCCCAAAACGAATGTAAAAACTTTGTACTTTTTTGAACGGCACCAGTGTCAATCACTATCCTGAGCAGAATAATTGAAAAATTGCACTTTCATGTGCCCAAATTTTCACTCGATTTCGCGATTTGATAACGAAATAAGAATTATGCCATCCGATATCGAAATCGAGTGAAAATTTCCGCACAGGAATGTGCAATTTCTCGCACAGGTGATGTTCGATAAACTGAAATTTTTTTACATGCCTTTGGGACATATATCATTTCGTTATCACAGGAAGGTCGAAATTTGCAGCCGGCTTCCGGACTATTATACCTGCATTAACGAATTCTTTGTTGTTTTGCCGAACAAGAGCCATATTTTTCACTTTTGCAGATGATGAATCTCTAATTTATTTGTCGATAATGCACAACCTACTAGAAATATCCAAAATTACAAATAGTTATCGCAGAATAAAGTTGTATTTATAGAATATCTTCCAGATTATTGATTTGGAGCATAGGCAAGTTGATTAGAACTAGGGCTCATTTTTATAGTAGTATTGAATGATGAAAAGAAAAAAATTAGGTTTCCATTTGAAAAAAAAATATATTTTCAATGTTTCATTCACATTCACTCTTTGGACCCACTTCTCTACGCACCCTGTAAATGATTCATGAATTCATGAGAGGAATTCGAAAATGTATGGTTGTATAATAAGAAAGATGACGTCACTTCCGGAAAACCGGAAGCTTCACAATAAAGAAGATATCTTAGTTGGATTCTCCATGTTTCCATAACCGTCCCTACGAATTTTCTGAATTGTTCTCCATATTATACAGGGTGTCTCTGGAAGGTCTGTACAAAATCTCAGAACATATTCCTGAGCCAAAATGAGCCGATTTAAAGCAACTTTCCTCAGTCTGAGATTGCTTCGTTTCCGAGATACAGGATTTTTGAACGTATTACTTCAAAAACTGATATTCTCGAAAGTATTACTTCAAAAATTGATATTTTCGGTTCTTATTTTAGATGTGAAACACGAATATGGGCACCTTTTTATTGTGGCCATTAGAGGGCGGCGCTTACCAATGCACTTATGGTTTAGAATCTCACTTTACTCGTTGAGAAATTGATGTTATTAACATTTTTCAGCAATTTTTTTTATGTTCTGGTTCCCACGAAAAGGGATATCCTGTAATATTCAGAGAACATCGTGAGAACCAAGGGAAATGAGGTAGAAATTGGTGTTCTTCTCAAATTTCTGGAGGTTATATGGGATGATTCGCTAAAATAAGCCGATTTCCAGATATTTGGGTTCCAAATGTTCGATGAAGCAGGGGAATATTTAAATTATTTTGAATAAAACATGTTTGCTGTTATCTTCGTGGATGTAATTTGATAAGTAAATTGGCAGTGCAAAATTGGATTTTTCAAAATACTTTCCTGGAGTGTACTTGTCTATTTTCATTTTTTATATTCACCACCCTGTATCCCGGGAACGAAGCAATTTCGGACTGAGGTAAGTTACTTCAAATCAGCTTATTGTGACCTCAGGAATATAGGCTGAGATTTTGTACAGACCTTTCAGGGACACCCTGTATAGATCGCGTCAACTCATGAAGATATACCCTGTATCTATTACGGTTCCTATCACATTCATTACTCATTTATTTTAGTTCAAAATTCATGATATATCATTTGTTCAATGCATGTCTTCTGAAACGAAATGTTCATGTGCTGGATCACTGTAGACGTGTTTATTTAATAGTATTCATAACTACATATGATGGAGTGAAGTGCAAACGTTTTAGGATGATAGTGCAAGATCCCAAGACGGCCAGACCTTCGTTATTTTATAAAAGCTGAAAGTTCCTCAGCGCATGCTCCCAACACAGGTAATAACGTTAGGCAAATGTGAAGTTTAGGTCATGGTGCCTTTGGGAGGGATCAAAGGTGCTAAAAATACCAACTTACTTTCGTCATACTATAAAGGGTATTTTTTATATTTTCCTGGATGATATTAGAAACCACTTCATCCATTACCAGACACGTTACCATGGTGGCTACCACTTGCCAGACACCCTTAAACCCTGATGAATTGTAACAACTTTCGTTAAAGTATAAAAGCTGAATTCTATACATGTTACTTGGGTAGCAATTGAATGAAATGCTCAGTACACTATATATTATGAATTGAATACTTGTCTCATTTCTTAATGAGATAATTTTCCCTTGTGATAATTTGATATTGTTAAATATTTATTGACCTATGTACATTTATTTATTTTTTATCCTTACTACAAGGTTAACTTCATAAGGTTTTTCCCAGTTTATTCAAATTACCTATATGTTTATTCCAATGTATATTTTGTAAACGTTTTTGAATAAACTTATATTATTATTATTATTATTATTATTATTATTATTATTATTATTATTATTATTATTATTATTATTAATTAGAAGATGTTTCCTCAGTAGCCAGACTGTTCTGGTGGTGCTAACCACGAGCCAGACAAACATGCAGTGCTTTCGTAATGTACTGAATAAATACATTTTCATGCAAACTATCAATTTCTGAAGAATCTCTTGAAATAGGGCGACTTTTAATTTCAATTTGCCACATTCATACAGGGAAATTGAATAAACATGGTAATTCACGTAGGAATTATCATGTCCCCGTCAGTATTTTCAAACGGAACACCCTATATGTTAGAATTAGAACATATATCACACATAGGGATTGTATACAGTGCATCCGTTGAATCAGGTGCACTCGTCAAGTATATAGTGAATAAATTCTATGAAAATGAAGAAATGATTTTTGGAAAGAACACTGGACGTCGAATTTTATTTTCATTCGGGCATTTTTCATATTCAACGATTCGTGTATGAGAAACTAAGTCATCGGTATTTTTTATAGCAACCCCATTTTACCAGAGCACTAAATTTAACGGGCGCAATGTATACAAATCCTGTGTGTGATATACTCTTGAATACAGCTTTCCGTTGAGAATCCAAAACAGAATACAGGGTGCTTCAAGATTCAGAATTCTGATCACCCTGTATCTGTTCCAATTAAATGTCAGTAGATAGTGAATCGAAAGTTAATATAGGGACATGTAAGCCGTTTTGATCGATAATGAATAGTTTAGACACAAAAAACTCCTGAAATTGAAAAATCTCGATTTTGAACACCCTATAATCTGTAATCATTCCTGCTAGACCCCAAGTGTGATACATTTGTTGGAAATACGTTTCTAATTGACCAAGACGGCGTATTTGATAAACACAAATATAATGATGAAATTCAGGAAAGTATTCAGTCGCGCTCACACAGACACCCGTCAGAATCGGAATGACAACTCTCGTCAGAACTATTGCTACCGAGTGTCTCAGGAATACAAATAGTGAAATACTCAACACTCGGCCAATCCTGACAAAAGTGTGTCCTCACACATATCACCATCATTCACCATAAATACAATACATGAAAATCAAACATTATAACATTTCAAATCAAAATTACAATCTTCTTATCAGTCGCATACATAATCTTCGAATTTGATCGGTTTCGTGATTTGTCTTCTTGGGCGGATTGTTCCGTCCTTATCTTCATCGCTTCTCGTCGCTTTCCCAAATAAACTCTCATTGTCGCCATCTTCTTGCTTATCTTCAAACTCATCTTTTCCGAAAGTTGCT